AACTCATTTAGATTCTCCTATGGCTAATGCTAGTACTTCTGCAACACAAGGTAATGCTTCTGTTAACACTTTTTTTCCCTTTTTCTTCTCATTGATCTGTAAAGAAAATCAAAATTATCTGTAGATTAATTATATTTAGACAAAAGAAATTCATTTGAAAATTAGCATCCTTATGAAAAAATGAGTCACAACATTGTAAAGTCTGTTTTCTTAGTCTAAGTGAAAGCCCATCCCATCTTTTTGGGCAAAGGGCATATATTAGTCAGTAGTCATTGTATGAAAATGATGTGAAATGTAGCCTAACTAGGAAAAGAAAAAACACAAAATCTACTACAATTAAGTTAGATAATACTTTTCTTTATGTAGGAACAAAACAGGCATTGTTGTCTGTCTTTCTATTCTTATGATTCCCATCTTTCTTCTAATTTATTTACATCAGTGTGTGTTTGTCCTTTCTTATTCTAAAATGTTCTGATATTTCTGGATGTCTAGTAAACCATTACAATTCATTTGGCAGATTCCCTGGACATTCCTGAGGACTTTCTTGACCCTCTGACGTGTGAGGTGATGTCGGTGCCATTGTTGATGCCTTCAGGGCATTCCTTAGATGCTCACACCCTGGAAAGGTCAGTTCCCTCTGCTGCGTCAGTGTATTTGACTGATTTATTTATTCCATTTATTCCTTTTCCTGTTGATATATTTCCTGATTTGTATACAGATATTCAATGTATGTGTTTAGCAACACTTAGTTGAATTAGAGTGTAAATAGATTCATATGCTATCACATTTGAATTTATTAGAATTTATATGTATTCGTATCAACTGAAATAATTTAGTCAGAGGAAGGGAAGAACCCATAAACAAGGATCTTTACTTATTGGGAAATTTAGGATATCTCGAGCCAACTTTAGTATAACAAATTGATTGTAACTTTATCCACTGCCACCAGGTAAATGGACTGTCCTCTAGCTTTGTTTTGTGATTTTTTTTTTTACAGAAATGCTCATTCACCAAGGAATGTGGTCTCACCTGATTTCCCCATACCCTGAATATTTGGGATCTTTTTCCCTAATGCTATTGATATTAATACTGGCATTATTGTTTTTGACATTATAATTTTTAGTGTCATTAAAATATTGTAGCAATAAAGAAAAAAATTAGTCTTTCCAAATTAAAGGAAAAGAGAAAACAGGTGAGATAAATAGAAGTAGTAATAGACTCCTTGGTGACTAAGCTTTTGTGAAGTCATCTGTTTGTAAGCCCAGTTAATAAACTTAAATCACTGTGGACATGGCATTTACATAAGGGCCCTCCTTGGTGGGAGGGGGTTAAGATATCATAAAACAGGGTTATGAAAACACACATGGTAATATGTGGATTTTTGCCTTCATTTTTCTTTCTTTTTGCCCTCTTCTTTTGTACTTTGAGATAAACAGATCATATCTCAGTTAATGGAACTTTTGGTGTATTGATAATTCTAAGCAAACATATACAGTACCTGTCCTCAAGATTATCTGTATGTCAGACATTGTGTGTGTGTGTTTGATTGTGAGGGTGAGGGTGAGGGTGAGGGTGAGGGTGAGGGTGAGGGTGAGGGTGAGGGTGAGGGTGAGGGTGAGGGTGAGGGTGTGGTGTTGGGTGTGGGTGTGGGTGTGGGTGTGGGTGTGGGTGTGGGTGTGGGTGTGGGTGTGGGTGTGGGTGAGAGAGGAGGGGAGAGGGAGAGGGAGAGGGAGAGGGAGGGGAGGGAGAGGGAGAGAGGGAGAGGGAGGGGAGAGGAGAGAGGGAGGGAGAGAGGGAGGGAGAGAGGGAGAGGAGAGGGAGGGAGGAGAGGGAGGGAGAGAGGGAGGGAGGAGGGAGAGAGGAGAGAGGGAGAGGGAGGAGGAGAGAGGGAGGGAGGGAGAGGGAGAGAGGGGAGAGAGAGAGAGGGAGGGAGAGAGGAGAGGGAGGGAGGAGAGGGAGGGAGGGAGAGAGGGAGGGAGGGAGAGGAGGGAGAGGAGGGAGGGAGGGAGGGAGGGATGAGAGGGAGAGAGGAGGGAGAGAGGAGGAGGGAGGAGGGAGGGAGGGAGAGAGGGAGGGAGGGAGAGAGGGAGAGAGAGGGAGGGGGAGGAGGAGGGAGGGGGAGAGAGAGGGAGGGAGGGAGGAGAGGGAGGGAGGGAGAGAGGGAGGGAGGGAGGAGGGAGGGAGGGAGAGAGAGGGGGGAGGGAGAGAGGGAGGGAGGAGGAGAGAGGGAGGGAGGGAGAGAGGAGGGAGGGAGAGAGGGAGGGAGGGAGAGAGGGAGGGAGAGACGAGAGGGAGGGAGGGAGAGAGGGAGGGAGAGGAGAGGGAGGAGAGAGGGAGGGAGAGAGAGGGAGAGGAGGGAGGAGAGGGAGGAGGGAGAGAGGGAGAGGGGGAGGAGGGGGAGGGAGGGAGAGAGGAGGGAGGGAGAGGAGGGAGGAGGGAGGAGAGGAGAAGGAGGAGGGAGAGAGGAGGGAGAGGAGGGAAGAGGAGGAGGGAGAGAGGGAGGGAGGAGAGAGGAGGGAGGAGAGAGGGAGGGAGAGGAGGGAGGGAGGGAGAGGGAGAGGAGGAGAGAGAGGGAGGGAGGGAGAGAGGGAGGGAGGAGAGCGAGAGGAGGGAGGGAGGAGGGAGGGAGAGAGAGGAGAGAGAGAGAGAGAGAGGAGAGAGAGAGAGAGAGAGAGAGAGAGAGAGAGAGAGAGAGAGAGAGAGAGAGAGAGAGAGAGAGAGAGGGGGGGGACTTTGTGAGCAAAGGTAAGATACGGGAGAAGTAATTGTGAATCCTGCATGGTAAGTGTTTTGCACATAGAGACAGCTGCCATGAGTACAGCATGAGTACAGTATTGTTTTTGTGTTTGTTTAATGGGTAACAACTAATATCAAACCAGTAAAAGGAAGTTAGCAGAAGCAGCAGTTATAATGTAGAGACTAGAACTGGATATAATAATTTAAATTGATAAACCAGATTTAATATGCATCATTAAATCCAAATTGGATCCCTCCGTAGATGATGTAACATTAGGACTCAGAGGGGGGTATCAATATTAATAAGGAAAGGAAATATTACAAAGGAGTTAGAGATTAAGCAAAACCCCATAGTGGAACTGAAGGCAATTGAGGTAGAAACAAATGGGATAATTATAATAATAACCACCGTATACATGCCACCACATACAACGGTGTAGTCACAAGAAAATTACCAAAACAAATTCAAGAAATTTTATAGAACCTGGAAGAAGTTCTGCAACTTTCGGAAACCAATGCAAAAGAAATTCTTATCACGGGATTTTAATAATAAAATTACTGGGAAAGTTTTGATTCTAGAGCACAGCCACATTCGTGGAATCCTAAATTACTAGAAGTCATAAATGAGTATTGCTTTTTCCAAAATGTTATAGATCATATCAGGATAAGAGGGCGAGATAGACTGTTTATGCTTGACCTAATATTTACAAAGCATAAAGATGATATTAAGGATGTATATCAAAACTGAGAATTGAAGTAAGAAATTATCAAAGGTGGTTCAGGGATAAATGCAAAAAAATTACAGAAAACAAGCAGTTCAGACAACATAGATCTCAGTCAGTGTATGAAAGTTATAAAGTAGGAAGAAATGAGTATACCCAGCCATGAGGGAGGCAAAATTAAACTTTAAAAAGGGTATAACCAGTAAATGTACAAATCAACCAAAGCTCTTCTTTAACTACATTAATAGTAAGACTAAAAGTAGAGATCAAATTAGCATCATCAAAGACAATAACATATTTTATACTAAGGAGGGAAAGCGTGAAATCCTTGATGAGAAATTTCAGGCAGTGTTTGTTCAGGACTCATACTTTGAAATGACAAATAACCATACAAATATAAAGAAGAATATAAAAAGTATCACTCTCAAAAAAGAAGAAAAAAAAAAAAAACTACTAAAGCAGAGGGACTACATGAGATTCTTAGGGAATGAGCCAAATAACTATGTACTCTTTTTTTGTTAATACCCCAAAATTCAGTGAGGTAAGGAAAACTACCAAAAATTGGAAACTCACCAACATTACATCCTTAAATAAAGATGGAAACAATGCACTACCGCATTTTTATCATGAATATATAACCTCTCTGTTTGGGGATAGATCCCGCGCCGCCAGATCGTAAGGCGGCCATTCTATCCATTGCTCCACCACTCACTAAAAGGATTGTGCAATCAGGCGTGATCTGGCACCATGGATTTTGGTGTGGTGGAGTAATGGATAGAGCGGCCGCCTTACAATCTGGCGGCGCGGGATCGATCCCCGAACAGAGAGGTTATATATTCATGATAAAAATTCGGTAGTGCATTGTTTCCATCTTTCATTAATATACCTCATGTTATCTGATTTGGGGTTTGATCTGCTTTCCATAAGTCCCGAATGCTCACGGGGATTGTGTGTAAAATCTCGCTATACTTACTCAGGTATGAGTAGTTAGGTAAAATCCATGGTGCCAGATCGCACCTGGTTGCACAATCCTTTTTGTGAGTGGTGGAGTAATGGATAGAGCAGCCGCCTTAAGATCTGGTGGCACGTAGAGTGGATAGTTAGAAAACAATGAGTTAAAGTATTTGAAAAACACAGAATGATATCAAGTAACCAATTTAGTTTTATGAAAAGGTCATGTGTAACCAATTTCATCTGTTTTTATGACAGAGTTTCTGAAATATTATATGAAAGAGAGGACTGGGTGGATTGTGTGTACTTAGACTTTCAAAAGGCTTTTGATAAGGTGTCTTATAGAAGAATATTAAGGAAATTAAAACACCTTGGTGAAGTGAAAAGCAAACTCCTTAAATGGATGAAAGACTTCCTTCAGGAAAAACAGATGAGCAATATGATTAGAGGGAAGCACTTTCAATGGTAATGAGTAACTAGCAGAATGCCTCAAGATTCGGTCGTAGTGCCAATTATATTTCCTTTTTCATAAATAATTTAGGGTCAAACATAAGTCCAGGTAGTTATCTGAATAGATATCTAGTACAGATG